TGTGAAGCAGATTGGGGCTAGATAGTATTTGTCAAAAGAGTTCTTAGATGCTTTGAGCCTTCCTTTGAAATTTTTGGAGCTACCTCTAGGAGCTAACCTAGGTAGAAAATCAACTTGGAAGCCTGTACTTGACAAAATCAGATTATGGCTTTCAGGTTAGAAGAGAAAATTGTTGTCCTTTGTAGGAAGACTAACCTTGATCAAGTCTTCTTTATCAAGTTTACCTATGTACTACCTTTCTTTATTTAAGATGCCTGAAGGTGTGGCAAGAGAATTTAAGAAGATTGAGGTTGTGTTCTTGTGGGGTGGTAATGATCTAAAAACAAAAGTTAAACTAGTGAAATGGGTGGAGGTAACAAAGAGTATTGATCAAGAGGACCTAGGCATAAGAAAGATCAGGGATGTCAATGCATGTTTACTATTCAAATGGCGGTGGAAATTTAGAAATCAAATTAATGCACTATGGAGGAGATCAGCTATTAGCAGCAAATATAAGATTAAGTATGCTGGCATCCTCCAGTGAGATTCTCATATAAGCATTCTAGAGTATAGAATGATATTATCTTCATTTTTTTTTTTAATCAATAAAGAAAAATTTCATTAACAGCATAAAATCAAAGGTACAGGAAGATGACATGCATCGAGAGAGATTTGGAAAGTACAAATTAACCCCTACTACTACTACTCGCATCCATATAACCAACTCCTTGGCCTCACGATTTTATTTTATTTTTAATGCAAAATAAAAGATAGACTAAAAAAAATGAAAAAAAAAAAAGTTAAGAAGGACTGAACTAGAAAATAAAAAACATGAATCCCCACAAAATCAACCCACACAGCCCAAAACCAAAACACCGAAGCTGCTTCTGCACTCCTCTTTTCAACGAACCAACATCTTCTTTTTCAACACCCAATCTACTGCACTACTCTTTTCAACAAACCATACTCTACTTTTCAACCCAAATATTTTATTCACCCATGCTGCTGCTGCCCCAATCAAATGTAATCAAATAGTAAAAGACCCACGCCTCAAATGTAACCTATGCTGCTTCTGCACTCCTCTTTTCAACACCCACGCCTCCTAAAAAGAAACTAAACTCTTCTTTTCACCAGCCCACACAGCCAATGCCAAGACCCACGCCGCCTCCACATGCTCTGCTGATTCGATTGAGAACGTTCTATGGCTAAAAAACTCCATAGTCGAAGACTCCATAGTTGGAAAAACTCCTTTGACCGAAAGACTCTGGCCGAAACACATCCAAGGAAAAAACCCAAGGGCCAACTTCCATGTAAACACCTGAACAACAAAACTCACACTGGAATAAAGTCGCCGAACACCCCTACGGTCGGAACACATCTTATTGTCCGATCCAAACATTGAACACACCCGCTGCAGAAACTCTTAAGATAACGATCCAAACACCGAACAACCGCTGAGACACCTCCATACATTTGGATGAAGTTCACCCCTCTAACTCTCACTTAAAGAGGAGCGCTTGAATGAAACCCGGACAGATCTAGATCAACTTCGATACTCATGTTTCCCCCCAAACAAAGCATCGATACTTCTCCATAAATCTGAACCAGATTTCACCCCTCAAACTCCGACTCGCAAAAGAGCGCCCAAATGAAGATCCTAACCAAATCTGGACGTCCTCTATGCTGGTCCAACACCAATCTCCTCCTCTATATTGACCCTTATTCCAGGAATCACCTGTTGAAAACAACACACCACTGCTTCAACCCCAATGAAACATCTAAAGCGTGCACTGAAACACCAAAAAATGAAGATCAACAGCAGCACACAAAGCACAATAGGTGGGAAAATAATAGGGGAATCAAGTTTATTAAAAGGGATAACTAACAGACAAACACAGGAAAAAGCTGGGCCAGCTGACCGCCATAAGGGGTTATTTTCAATTTCTATTTGGAAAACTATCAAATCAAGGTGAGAAATAGGAATATAATCAGATTTTCGCGTGACAGGTGGTGTGGAAGCTCTTGCCTAGTTTCCTTCTCTTTATAATCTCTCTACTGATAAGAAAGGTTTTCTACACTACTTTTTTGTTAGAAAATCCCACTCGCGTGTTTGGAATTTTCCCTATAGAAGAATATTGTATGCTTAGGAATTGGCTGAAGAAGTTAGATTAATTACTATCTTGTCCTCTGTCTCTCCCTTGAGTCATGAGAATACTGATTGTCAGGTTTGGGCAAGTGCAGCTGCAAGCTCTGGTGCTTTCTCTGCGTCTAAATTATACTCATTTAGAAACTCTCTTCTTGGCCCTCATCTCAGAACCAGCATGTTTGTTTGGAGTAATGCATTACCCCTTACTTTTCTTCGTTGGTTAGCCTAGACAAACAGAATTAAATCTACTGGGTTTTTGCATAGAATTGGCATTTTAGATAGCAATGTTTCCACCATATACCCTTTTTGTAGATCTGAAACTGAATCTGCTGCTCATGTTCTGCTTCATTGCCCTTTCTCCTAGATCATTTGGTCTTCTGCGATTCATGATTGGAGGTTTTAATGGTGTATCCCAAAATTAGTGGAAGGTCTTTGCAACTGGTGGATGGGTGGAAAATTTAAAAGTCTTGAGAGGAAAATTTGGAGAGCTATTCCCCTAATTGTTTTTTGGACTCTTTGAAAGCATAGGAATGAGTGTGTCTTCACTGCGGCCCAACCCAATTCCTCTGGTCTGTGTGAGCTCATTAAGATCAGAATAGCTCTTTGCCTCAAAGCATCTATAAAGGTTTTCCCATAATTAGTTGATGATATTGTTTTCAAGTGAAGACAAATTGGGGGATGTTCTTAACTCTTGAGTGGTTATTGTAACTGGATTTTTGTTATTTTTCTTTCTCCTATTTTGTCTTCTCTCTTTTAGTTGGTTCCTTACTAATTTGGTGGTGTGCTTGCATTTGTTTGAGCCACTCTCACTGGTGCAAATGAAGTTGGAATTAGTTTGAGAGCTTCGATGCCCTGTGCCCTCTCCTCTTTATTGAGTGTATCTTTGCTCTTCATTGTTATAATAAATAAAGTTTTCTTTGCCGATCAAATATATATATATATATATGATTGGTCTCTCATCAAGTGCCAACATAATCGGGATGTGATATATTGACAATGATCCAGTCTTTCTCACCCAAACTTGGTATTGTCTATGTTCCCTTTTGCATTTTAAAAATAAAATAAAATAAAAAATTCCTTTTGCCGATTAGAGAGAGAGAGAGAGAGAGAAAAGTGTTTACAAATATAAAGATAAATGGCCCCAAACAAAAAATCTACCTAAAAGGCAAGTGTTCTTGCAAATTCCAATCAATAGCAAAATTACTTAATTGTTGCAAAAACTAGATTCATCAAATTTTTTAACACTTTTCCTTTAAAAGTTCCCAATTATTCGCTTAATTGGAGTTAACATCTCAAACAATATACAAATATATATAAACATAACTACAAAATACATTTTTTCCAACCAATGACTTTGCCCTAAGTGGTCACTTAAAAAATCCAAAATATGGAATAATAATTAAAGAAGATAACAGCTAGCAGATGACCTAAAAATGAAATTTGTGCAATTTTTCTTTTTCCAGAAAGTAAAATTTTAATACCCTATTGTGTAATTTGATAGTTATAAAATTTCAAATAAAAGAAAAAAATCAAAGTAAACAATTTATCGCGTATGCACAACTACCCGTCAATCTGAATTAAGATTTTATATAAAACATAACCAGTAAAAAGGAAGGAAGACATAAGAAGTAGCCATTATATATATCAAAAGGAAATTATATTAAGCAGAAAAAAGCCCTAGATATTTTTTAAATAAGAGAAAGTAAATTTCAGATATAAAATAATAAAAAAGTGATTCTTATGCAGCCACACAAATTTTCTGAAACATATGTACTTACCACTCAGTGTTAACAATGCTATTTAATGGTTTCATTTAGATCAAACTTAAGCTTTTCAGATGATGACTACAATCCAAAAATTAAAATAAAAAAATTATTATTGTTATTATTTTTATCTATAATACTATTGAAGAAAGGAGAACTTTAGGAAATTAGTTTAGCTTTTAGGGTTAAAGAGATCCGCAACTCTTGAACCAAACAGCAGCCTTAAATCTCTCTCTCTCTCTCTCTCTCTCTAAGAACCATTCTTTAACTGAACCACAAAGTAGGAGCAAGGATCCTCTGGAGTTTTTTTTTTCCTAAAGTTTCTTAAAGTGGTGCATTATATGGTTGAGATTTAATGACAAGTCACATTAATTTTTCAACATTAAATCTCAACCACACAATACACTACTCTAGGAAACTTTAGGAAAAAAACACTCTAGAGGATCTTTGATGACAAAGTAGAGCAGACTTTCACTGCAAAAGATCACATCTCTGGAAATCAAATCTTAACAGTGGATCAGTCTTATAATGGTTTTTTTTGAAGTCTATTAAAAATGAATCCATTTTTATCAAAATTACCACACAAAGGTCTCAGTGACTCCCTCTCTTAATCAAGCTTTTAATGGAGAGGAAAAAAAAAACAATAGTTATTAAAAAAATGCAATAAAAACTCAAGGTCCTCAATAAAATCCATGTAAAATACTCTTTAAAAGGTATCTAATTTTTTAATATTTAACTATAACAAGAGAAAAGAAAAAGTGTAGATCTTCACAAAAACAATAAAAAAAAAGGCTCCATTTTTTTAATGGATGCAAAAAAACCTAACTTGCACCTATAGGAACAGATCAAAACTTGAAGTATATACAAAACCCACAAAACAAAATCATCAAAAAATTGAAAGAAACCAAAAAAAAAAAATAAATTTGTTCTGACATGATGAGAAATGTTCAGATCTTGAAAGAAAAAACTAGACTACAACTTGCACTTGAAAAAACCTAACTTCGTAGACTATATTAGAAGAAAAAAATTAGCAAAAGCAAGGCTCATACACACACAACATATGCATATATATATATATATAGAGAGAGAGAGAGAGAGAGAGAGAGGGATACCTAGAGCCGCTACAGAACTCATAGAGCTTGCCACGATTGGAAAAGACTATGAGAGCAACCTCAGCATCACAGAGAACTGAGAGCTCATAAGCCTTCTTGAAAAGCCCATTTCTTCTCTTCGCAAATGTGACTTGCCTGTTTATTTTGTTCTCTATCCTCTTCAGGTCTACTCTCCCTCTTCCCATTTCTCTCTCCTCTCTCTCTCTCTCTATGTATTCTACTCTTGGTTAAGAACTGAACCCACTTTTAGAAGTGCTTGAATGTGAAGAAGGGCACCAAAAGAGATAAAAGGGCAGTAGAAAGAAAAGGAGAAAAATGAGAGAGAAATGGAAACCCCGAGTGTAGGCTTTCACTGTTCTTTGGTTACATTATTCTATATCTGGTTACTATTTCCCTTAATGCAAAACCGAAACTGCATGTCCACTACACCTGAAACATTGTAGTAAACATAAATAGGGAAGTCAAAAATTTTGCTAATCTTTTTCATTTTAAACAAATGTGGAACTTTAATGATCATATTTTATTGATTATATTTGGTTGAATTTTCAAAATTTGCTTTTGATTATTTTTTATAAATTTAAAAACTATACAAAAATTTTAGGATAAATTATAAATACATATCTTGAGATTTGTTTAAAATAAGAATTGTTTCTTATTGTTCTGGAAATTACAGCATGGCTCTTGAAGCTTTTAATTTCATAACAAATATCATCTTTAATAAATAAATTATCAAGTCAATCAATAATTTTTAATAATGTCAGAATATATTTCAATTAATAATTCAGGTAATTTCATTATTATATAGGAGAGTAATTACTAATTTTATTTTTTGAGTTAATTCTGTTTAATAAATTTTTTTTACAATGGATATTTATAATTTTTCAAATCAAATGAGATAATTTGTATTTTAAGTAAATCACAGTGGGAGCATTTGTAATTTATCTAAAATTTTATGACAAAATGATGTGAGAATGAAAATCTTAAAAATAAAAGTCATTAATTGGCCTTAATTTGTAAAGTCATTGTGATTAAAATTTTGTATTGATTTTTTTTTTTTTTTTGTCTATATAGCACTATTCAATCTAGAAATTGGTTTGGTAAAAATTAAAGGGTCAAGTATATTGACCTCTCATGAGATTTGAAAAAAGTACAATAAACTCTTATAATTTACATATTATTACATTTAGCTCTTTTGTGATTTTAATTTATGTAACACTTAAGTCATCTTTTCATTAATAATTTGTTAGTTATATGAATGAAAAAAATTATGTTATTATCTCTTTTACATGAAAATGTATATTTTATGTTGTTTATTTTTATATTTTTGCAATATTCGTATTAGTTTTAGGCCATTTAATCTTACTAAGAGGGAGCTCAGTGTAATTATATCAAAATTGTGAGATTTATTATATTTTTTCTAAACTTCAAGGATGACAGTGTAATTTAGCCAAAAATAAAAATAAACATAAATGAAATTATTATTTTATATGTATTCTTTTTCTTTTTCTCTTTGAAGAGAAAATAATATTGTAAATTAAAAAAAAAATTGTGTTTATTTTAATCAATTGATTTTTTATTTTTTGAAAGGAAAAAAAAAGATTTTGAAAACTTAAACAAATGTATATGAAAAATGAAAAAAAAATAAAAATTAAACCCCTAAAAAGTCTTCCATAATTTTACCTATAATAACATGACAAGTTTATGTGTCACCTTTATTAATTTGTCAAAAACTTAACTGTGTTAGATCTATCTATCTTATTATGTCATTGTGAATAAATTATAAATTGTAGGTTTCTATCATCCATCATTAAAAAATGTATATAAAAAATAATACAAGAATGAAGCGGTAATATCATTTTTGTTACTATGAAAAAATTAATTTCATGAAAATCATCTTGGAGCCACGGTCAGTCATCACCAATAGATCGATCCTAACCTTTGTCAATCAACCGGTTACAACTTCAAAATGATTTTCATAAAATATTTTCCATTACACCTACACTTATTGTCTGATATTAGAAAAGAATTTTATAAATGCTTTGTTTTAAAATAAAATGTTCACATTGAATCACATCGTTTTATAATTTTTATTTGTATATCAATATCATTACTCTAACAAACAAAAAAAATTATCATTATTCTTTTTTATCAATAAAAAAATCTTTATTGATGAATAAACCATACAAAGCACAAAATTATTACATCAATACAGAGAGTGAAAAAATTCGCCATTATAACTCATAAGGAAAATGCTATAAGTACCAAAATTTCTACTAAACAAATAACTAAATGTCTCACATGAATGTGTGATTTACAAACACATCTATGTAAGATATTTGGTCATTTATTAAAATCTGGTATATCTAACATTACCCAACTCATAATTCTAATGAATGAGAGCATTTATTATATGATTTGTTTCTCAAGTGACAAAATATTTGTTAGAAATTGGGCGCACATGTGGCATGACTCTCTGAGCCTTTTGAACGTGAACCTTTTGAACCTGAACTTTTTTTAACCTTATCTATGTAAGTTTGAATTTGAATTCAAAACTTATTTAGATAACCATTCAGGATATCTATACTTATCATACCAATCTATATGGATAGATTGATATATATGGTTATACATCTGATTATATATTGATCAGATAATATAATTGATATATCAGATACGTTAAGAGGTTTTTACCTATAACCTTTTTTTTCAGACTCTCTCTCTAACTCTCTCCCATGCGAAAACGATCCAGCTTTTGCACTGTGACTTGTGTGGATGATACTCATTTTGTAGTATCACTCCATTGCTGAGTTGGTTGTTCACATCTTGGAAGCACGTGATTTACCCATGAGATTCTTGGCTTCAAGCTCTACTAAAAGGTATGACTATGAAATTTTTCATCCGCTGCGTTTTATACTTTGATTTACATTGGTATCAGAGCTAGATTGGATATTTTCATGTTTATTTTTATGCATTAAAATATGTGTATATTTTTATATAAATATATATAAATATATATGATATATGCATGAATATTCATAAAGGAGGAAGATGTCCCTCTCATTAGATTAAGAACATAAAACACTTCATGTTTATGTTCATTAAATGTCATTTTTAATGCCATAAATATTTTTCTTGTGAAAAATGGAGTCCGATAGTAACAAAATTAGACTATAAAACACCCTGGAAGGCGGCGCGTGTGACTTATGCGCTATATGACGCCGCCCAGCGAATCCACGCACCACCACGCGCTCGGCGCGCTTCCACGGGTGCGCTGTCCGAGCCCTTCCACACGCGCGCGTTAAACCACACCGCTTCGAGTAGCGTCACGTGCGCAACCACGCGTGCACCATGCGCCGCGTCGCCTCGCGCCGAGTTGCACTGCGTTGAGCGGCGGCGAGCCTAGCCGAGCCGTTTTTTCCGCGCTGGTTTGGCTCTAAGGCTCTGGTTTTTTTTTTTTAATTTTAAATCGTGTTAAATGGTCATAATTAATTCGTTATACCTTTGTTTTAAGCGTGGTTGGTACCATTAGACTCAGAATTAAATTTTCTATCTTCTGTAAAATTTTCAAAATTTTATGAAAATAAAAAATATTTTTCCTGAAATAATAATTCATTATTTCTGCTTTAAAATGCATCTGGTGTTGCATGATTAATTTCTAGGGTTGAATTTTTTATTTGTAAACTATTGTTATAGTTTATTATTTACTGATATGGTTATTGCATTTTACTAGATTCTGAAATATTTATTTTTAATTTTATGTGTGTTTATTAGTTATTTAAAATTTCAGAAAATATCAAAAATTTCAAAAATTTTCAGAAAGTGTATACTTTCTATTATGGCATAATTTGAATATTAAATACAACATATTGTTATTTTTTACCTAGAGTTTCTAATATGTTGTAATTAGAATAGCATGATTAATTGTTATTTGTTTAAATTCCATTATTAATTGTGACATAGCATAAGTTGGTTGTGAATCTACATTATGATGCTATTGTATGGAATTAGAATTTTTTATCATGCTTTTAGACATGCCATAGTCAGTGGGAGGTTCTTCGATTGAGAGAAATATTTGTAAATTTACTCCCGAAAACTAATATTTTGTGCATGAACTTAAATTTAAATTTTGGATAATTGTCACTTGTGGCGCAAGAGATGATTACGAGCTTAGCGGATTTTCGATCTTGCGACTTGTGTAATATTGTCACTATTTAATTTAGTTTTTTGCGGCAAAATTATATTATGCTAATCAAAATTAATCCCAATACGAATTTCTCTCTAAATTGACTTAGCTTATGGAAGTTAATTTGGTTGACCTAGACTTAGTAGACATGTTCAATTTGAACAATGTAATCCTATTATTTAGATGAGTAAAAGTCTTGGAGACTTTAGGTCAGACCTTAATTGAGTCAAAGTAAGGAAACATGACTCAAAGTCGCCCTGGTTTTGTTGCCTTGTTTGGCACAACAAAATTTGATGTGTGCGCTATGGTTAACGGCATACTACGTAGTTTTGATTGTCGAGTTTTGGAGTTATGAAATTAGTAAGCTCTCAATAGATCAGTATATGATCTTGACTATTGAGCTGCACGAATTAACTTTGTAATTTGACTTGTAAATAATGTTACATCATTGGATGAAGTAACATTCAAGAATCACGTCATCCAAGAAATGCGAGCTTAAATAAATTAGTCATTGAGTGTAAGACGAGTAGCCAGTATAAGCAGTATTTTGCTCTCTACCCAATCATTGGGAGTGGATGGAGCAAAATTTCATGCACTATAATAGTGTGCGTTGAAATATCACGTGAACTTTGTAATTTGACTTGTAAATAATGTTACATCATTGGATGAAGTAACATTCAAGAGTCACGTCATCCAAGAAATGCGAGCTTAAATAAATTAGTCATTGAGTGTAAGACGAGTAGCTAGTATGAGCAGCATTTTGCTCTCTACCCAATTATTGGGAGTGGATGGAGCAAAATTTCATGCACTATAATAGTGTGCGTTGAAATATCACGTGAAGTTAAAAGATTAGCGCTTAGAAGCTGCAAAATCTATTAACACTAAGTGAAAATATTAACGCTTAGAAGCTACAAAATCTATTAACACTAAGTGAAAAGATTAGCGCTTAGAAGTTGCAAAATCTATTAACACTAAGTGAAAAGATTAGTTCTTAGAAGTTGCAAAATCTATTAACACGAAGTGAAAAGATTAGCGCTTAGTGGCTGCAAAAATCTATTAGCATTGCCAACTTGTCTAAGTTTGGACACTTACTGTTTCCACACTTGAGTGTGAGACATGAGGAGGGGCTTCTTTGTATGATTCCTTAGCAAGGCTA